GTATTTGAATCATAAAATGTCATAATATACAACAAACAAGGAATTGGAATAAAAACTAAAACAGAATTTATTTCTGAGATAATAGGAATACTAAAAATAATATTTAGAATCATTACTATGGGGAATAATACATCCAGAGAGTATGAGTATGTTTTAATCCAGAGAGTATGAGTATGTTTTAATGTAAAGAGATATTGGATAAGACACATCATGGATTGAAGATGGCAAAATAGCGTATTTTATAATTTTTAGCAATAAAATTGTTATAATATATATTAGATTAATAAAAATATATGAAATGATAAGAAGTATAAATAATCTACTAATCTATAATATGTTTACATGGTAATCCTGGAGTATTAGCATAGAGCATAGCTGAGTCTTTGGGAGACCTTTTTTAAAAGATATCACTAGGTGGAGTATCAGATGAAGCATAGATAAGAGGTAACCGAATGACTTATGTAGAAGCATAGGGAGGAGTGATAATGGAAGCAATGAAGAAGCAAAATGTATGAATCCAGTTATCTTACTAGATGAGATAGATAAGATTAATCAATATATAGTTGATTCTGCGTTATTAGAGGTTCTAGATCCTGAATAAAATAAAAAATTTTTAGATAATTATGTAAATGAAGAATTCAATTTGAGTTAAGTTCTATTTATTTCAATAGCAAATTAGTAATAATATGAGTAATAATATTAGTTTATAAGCAATATAACCATCATTAAGAGATAGATTAGAAATAATAGAAATTCCATCTTATACTATAGATGAGAAAGAGAAGATTGCAATTTTACATTTAATTCCAAAATAATTAGAACTTAATGGGATTGTTGGTAAAGTAGATTTCAATATAGAAATGATTAGATATTCATCATGAATTATACAAATGAGAGTGGAGTTAGATAATTAGAGAGATAAATTGATTCTATTTTTAGAAATATAGCACGTTAATAAGTAAGAGGTAAAAGAAAGGGATGTTACAATATTAATAAAGGATTTATTTATACGAATTTTAGACTTAGATTATAAACAGTTGGAATGTGCAATGGTTTAAATGATGGGATGAATATTTTAGAAGAGATTGAGAATAAAGGATAAGGAAATCTATTTTTTAAATCTAAAGATCAATAAATAGTTGAATAAGGAATAACTGCATTGTCTTATTTAAGAAATTGTTTTAGACATATTTAATTTCATAATTGGGATATCTATAATGCAAATTAAAATTGTTTAGGAGTTTGTGTTGTCTGTTGCCATGATTTCTCTTTTATGAATAAGAAGGTCAAATCTAATGTTGTCTTTGCAGGAGAATTGACAGTTAAAGGATCTATACTTAGATAGGACAATCTTAGAGATAATATTATATAGGCAAATATTTATATTATATAAACATTTTATTTTAATATTTAGCATCTATCACATAATAATTTAACCTTAATAGATTACATTCTCTAAATTTTATCTCATTGTCGTCTTATTATAATTTTTCATTTTATTTATCTATTTCATCAAATAATTTTATCAAAGTGATTGCTTAAAGTTCAAAACAAGCATGTTCAAATTGTCCTTGATAAAAATCAAATATTTTAGCTGGCTATTTGTTTGCTTTAGATATATAGTAACTAATACGATTTGACCTTAAATATTAATAAGAAATTACCATTTTAATACAACTCTAGATTAAGAATTAAGTGAATTCATAATGCTCAAATATTTGCGAGATATATTTTTTACATTTAAAATGATCTTTATGATCAGGTTTCCAAGGTTATGAACAAACATAACAAAAAGCCTTACAACAACCTCCTGGAGGTTTACACATCATATAATTACATCCTTCTGATCTCTCTACTGGTTTTTTACAAAATGGATCCTCTTTACAATAAAAACAGAATATATTCTGACATGATTCACAAGTCACTTCTTTTATTGATTTTAATGTGAGTTTTAAAATCTTATTACAATTAACTCCTGTACAATAAACTAAAGACTTAGAACTATCGACATATCTTCTACTTAATAAATTGTCAAATTCAGGATTAGAATATCTTTTAAGCATTTAGAAAGGAATTCTATAATTGCATCCATTCTATAAACATTTCACTATTAAAAATTATCCACAGAAATTTTTTGCTTTATTGTAATACCAAATTTATGAGTCCATCCTAATTAAATTTCCATCACAAAAACAAACTGAGCATGTTCCTTTATGACCATTTTCATTGATCTTATCATGATCTTTATAAATTCCTTCAGATTTTAATTTTATCAATAAAGCTTCTTAATTAGAGAAATATTTTTAAATGACTTCTTCTAGATTCCAATTAAATTACATTAATAACTTCATAATTATAATAAATTACTTCGAAAATAATATCGATCTTTAAACCCAATACATCTTAAAGTTCTAGCATATCTTTTTCAATAACTTTAATGACATCTTTTATTTCCAAAATTTATATACTCTATTAAATTATATTCAATTTTATTTACCCTTTTATAGAGTATTATCTTCCCATTTGCTTTAAAGACTCTATAGAGTATTATCTTCCCAAAGAGTACCTCTTCCATAAATTTTATTTATTTTTTTTAATTAATTACTATGAATGATTATATGGATTACATAAAGGGGATTAAAATATATATAGATGATTCAGCAAATAAAATTCAAGAAAGAGTGGCTGATATTGTTAGAGTCGATGAAATCAGAGATTTGAATAAAATGCAAGCTAAAAAATATAGAAATAGAAATAACAATAAAGAACCTTTTCTGGTTACTTCAGGTGAAGTATTTCAGCCAGAAATTGAATTATAAAAATTATAATAACAAAATTAATAACTTAATGAAAAGATGAAAGAATTAAAAGAACAAAGAACAAACCTTAAATTTTAACTTGGAAAATATAGATAACTTATAGCTGATAAAAGAAAGATGATAAATAAAGAATGTAGATATGGTTTTCAATTACTTACATAAACCAGAAGACTTAGAATTTTGAATGAGAAAAAGAGTAAATTTCCTTAACTATTTATTACTTCCACTTCCACGATATCAGAAAAGAAACTAAATTAAGTTCATATTCTCTTAAGAGATGTAATAAAGACTGAAAGATAAACTCCATTATTTAGAAGCAATCGTAGATATACTTTTGATTAATTATGCAATTAAATAAAACAGAATATTTAGCTACATACATAATCACTTACCAAAAATTAAATAATACTTTCTTGAGTTCTCATTCAAAAGTTCAAAAGGACTAAACAATTCAAAACTCTGTGATTTTTTTAAATAATCTAATTAATTATTTTATTATTTTCATCTCTCCAAGAATTATACATCTTTCTACTACTATTTTTTATCAATATATATATATATATATAACTATGTATGTCTTCATAAATTTATGATAAAAAATTGTTGAATAAAATATTACAGACAATTTATATAGAAGGTAATATTAATGAAAGGATTGAATTGTATGATTATTCTATATTCTCTATATGAGAATTCATGACTTTCAAGGTTATCAGCTCAATCCAGTGATTTTGATTTCTGCTTCTTCAACTTCAGATGAATCATTTGCTTAAATTTAAATTTCTTTTGAAAGTCCATTCAACTTCTTCTTTAATGCTTCTTTTCCTGCAGCATATACCATCTTTTATTTTACTGGTTGATTGGTATCTGGTGACCAGAAAATGAAGACTAATTTATCAACTTTTCTAGGTGGAACATCATCTGTTTAAGCATGATAATCATAAACAGCCTATCAGAACTTTTAAATTAAAGAATATATTTACTTCATTTTAAAGATGACTTACAGATTCTGCATAAGTACTAGTTTTTGCTCCTTTTTAATCAACAACAATCTAATATACAATATAAGAAATACTTCATTTCTATCTTTATTTAATCAAAAGATTACATTTCTATATTGTTTTCCTAATTTTAAATTATTGAATTCTGTCACACAATCATCACTAACACTTGTACCAACTTTTATAATGATATCTTAAATTTATATTTAAATTTTTGTTAATTAAATCACATAATCATTTCTTATTCACCATTTATTAGTATAATTATTACTACTTATTGTTGTTGCTGTTTACATTGTTTTAGATTTTTTATTTGAAATTTCTTTCAATTTAGATGATGGTCTTTAACTATTTCTTGTAGGTGATACAAAATCAACTTATTCTTTTTATCTTGATGAATCCAAAAAATCAGATCCAGGATTAAATGGAACATGAACTTATTCATGAAGAAATTCATATTCTGTAGGCTGAATAGACTTAATGTTTAGAAACTGAAGATTATTAAGACTTTGTAAATATCTATGATTCAGAGATTTTGAAATAGCCAATATTAAAGGGAATTAGCTTATTGTGGAACTTATGTTGCATATTAAACTTATAATTAACTACTTTAGCTATATTAAAATGCTTATAAATTTGCAGAAATTTATAGTTTTTATTGAGTTTCTATCTATGAAATTTCTTATTAAAAAAACATTGGATGTTATTACATAGATGTCAAAGTTGGATTAGAATCTTTAAAATTAAATGATTAAAGTGTAAATTATTAAGATTATTATCATAATAATGGATGTTATTTTGTTGATTACATAAGAAATGATTATGCTTATGATTATTATTCTCTCCTTAATACTCTTGATTAAATCTCTATAGCATGTTCATTCAAAATGTCAGCTGGATTACTTGGAATAGTAAATTTGTTATTATTATTTATTTATTATTGCATTAATTCTAAAATACTTCCTTCATAAATCTATAAGTAATTTGATCTATCTTCTACTTTTATTGACAAAATTCTACTAATTAATTTATTATTTACTCTAGATAACATATCATTCAGAACTTCTATAAATAACTATAATACTATATACCTTAATTTATTTAATATTCTTAAAAATCATAAATTTATTAAATTGGTTCCTATAACATCAATTCCAAACATACTAATCCAATTGTAAATACTTCATTTTCTCTAGATTATATTCTAGCTGAAACACCATTCTTCCCAATTAAAAGAATAAATCAGGTGAAAGATAACAATATTCTTCAAAACCACTCAATAATCTATTGTATTAATCTACATTTGGTAAAAGTAATTTCACTTAATTTGTATATTAAATAATCAATTAAATTTATAATTTGATTATTGTTCAATTTTAATATGTTTCTTAATTTTTTTTTATTAATAACTCTATTAATTTAAAAAGAATATTATAAATATATAAATGGTTATGGTCTTAAATCACGTGATATTTTTCTCTATTCTGCAATTCAATTAATGTTTGAATTATTTATAATAAAAACTAATACCAAGGCAAATTTGATGGTAATTAATTCAGAGATAACATCAATTCTAAATAAATTACTACATAATGTCGATTCTTCATCTTTTTGAATATCTAATAAACGAATCAAACCTGGCATAAAACTAATTTACTAATATTATTCTAATCTCTTCAATTTTTTTTGATAATGCATCTCACTTTAATATACTTTATGCACCACTGCCACTTTAATTTGTGTGCACTTCAATTTCACAACCGAAACTAAACTTTATTTTTAAAATTATTACATTCTACTTTCTCTTGAATCAACCTTTAATCAATTTTTCAAAAAATGTTATTTGGCTTGTTAAACTTAACCCATAAATTTAATTAACTATATTTAGTATTAATTTTAATTATAAATATTATCATAAATTAGTAGAGTTAAGATGATTATTATTCATTTATCTATTGAAAGCATTTTATTATTTTACCTAACCAAAGTTTTTAATAAGTTTTGTGAAAAATTTTAATTTTAAAAATTCAATTGAAATTCATTTTATTTTTATTAATATATTTGAATTCTATCATTAAGACTTCATATTAATATATCTATAAAATAATTATATTTTTATCAATATTTTTCAATAAATGATCATTAGATTAGTCTTTACAAATTTATTAGTGGTTTTGTTATTTTTAGAATAAACTATTTAAACTCTAACTCAAACAGAAAAGAAAATAAACTAAAATCAAAAATATTAATAATTAAAATAATTTTTTTAAAGTATATGTTCTAACTTGAAGAGTAAGTTAATAAGATTACACATAAAACAATATATAATTTTATTTTCAATTATGTTTCATAAAAATGTAATTTTTGTTAAGGAATTATTATAGTAAATAGGTTCACTTATTCATTTCATAATAAACCATAAATTAGTTAAAAAAAAGAAGAAACTTTAAATACTTAATGACCAAAGTGTAAAGCTATCATAGAAACATCAAATTCGCAAATAGATTTACTTCTGCAACAATCAAATATAGCATTTGGTTTTTCTTTCTTTTCCTATAATTTTGGTCTCATAAATCCAATTATTACATTCCATAATTTCAATGATTTTAGGAAATCCAAGAGTTTCATCTTCCTATTCAAATAATTAAATATTTAATTTATTATTGAATAGGAGGATTATCTAAATTTAAATAAATTTATTCAACAAAGCTTTCTAATTTTTTTTCTTCATTTTACAATTATTCGAAATTAATTTTTGTTCCTTCTTTCCTGTTATAAATTATAGCCTATAAACCTGATTAAATTTCATTTAAAATTTAATCACATAAAATAATAATCTAAACCATTCATATTGTTAGCTTTTCTTAATTAAAATAATTATATTTTATTGTATGCCCAAATTCAGGATTTAGATGTGGAGTTAAAGCAAATTAGTAATCCATGAATATGATTCTCTCATCATCTCCATCTATTATTTTAGATCTATTAGTCTATTTTTATAAATAAATAAAATAATATCTACTAATATTGTAAAAATAAGGGCTGGTAATTTTACAGAATCTGGTATACTTGCCCTAGTAAATCTAATTTCATCTACATTCCATAATTATTTATGATTAGGTTCTGATTTCTAAATTAGAATATCAAACTGAAAAACTTCAGCTTCTAATTTTTTTAGAAAGACTTTAAAATATCCTATAGCAGCTTCACGACAAACTTTTTAAAGAGATTCTAAATCTCCTACTAAGTAAAGATTATAGATCTATTCAAGGATAACCTTAGCCTCGTTTTCTAATTCATATAGATCAAAATTTGGATCAAACTTATTTTATTGCTCTTGCAACATTACTTTCATTTGTCACAGTTTTCTAACATATTTTTATATTTAATACTTCTGCATATAAAGAAACTTAAACTAAATTGCTGAGATGATTCTATATTCTATCAGATAAATCAGCTTTAAATTATTTCATTTCTGATTGAAATGATACATATTCTTTATAAGCATCACTATTAACAAATTGTTATCCTTAGTCACTTTATTTTAGTCTACTTTAAATCTTCTAAGCTATTTTTTAGCTTATACAGCATTCCTTTTCCATTCTGGAATTCTCTCTTAAATCTAAATAAATTTTAATTCATACTCCTGCTAATTTTTCTTCACACATATAAGCTATCTTCTCTTCTTCTTTCTTTCTCTCTGCTAACTTGGCTTTTACTATATCATGCTAATTTGCTATATTTAAACAAGTTTTTCCAATACTTGTCTCCTAATTTGCATTTGCATCTGATTAAATTTAACTGCTGATCATACTTTCTATTTTAATTTGGAAGCAGAGTCTTTAGCTGAATCTTTTACAGTATGTAAAATATCTATAACTAATGTTGGTTATTTCTCAATTTCTTAGGTTTTTTTATTTTCACTGCAAAAATTATTTATTTATAACTCTTCTCTAATTGAAAATGCTCACTCTTTAAAATCTCTATACTTATCTAATTGGAACAAACAAGTTTACAAAGTTTATCATTAAATATAAAAAATTTAATTTAGGGTAATAAATTGCTTTATTTTGTATATCTATAAAATTTTATAATAACAGTATTAATTATAATATATATTTAGATATTTTTAATATTAAAATAGAGAAAATAATTATGAGTAGGTTTTTTCCTTTTCTAACAATTTATATCAAATGATTATTAAAGAAATGATTCTTCTCTTAATTCTTCAATAATTTACTCTATTAATTTTTCTTCTTCCAAAGTTAATTACCATGATAATATAATTTATTTATATACTTTTCAACTAATGGATTTAATTTATTAATCCATCTTTCTCTGCATTGTTTACCCAATTTTACATGGCTTGACTTGCAAAGCTAACTCATTTCCATGGATATCAGACTACATTTATTATATCTATTCTATTATGTATATTTTTCATAAAGTTCAGCTAGTATAGTATCATCTTCTCAAGACCAAGAATGATCTACTATAGAAGTTGCTTAACTTTCCATCCATTTATTTCTACACACTTTCCAAAAACTATAGAATAATAATGACCCTACCCAATCCCAATCGTAAACATCCTAAAAATTATAATTTATAAATACCATCTATAAAGGTTGCAAATTATGAATGCTATAATATAATTTACAATTATCTTCAGGAGGTCTATTTCATAATTATCAATTTTTTTCCACTTCCTATGTTTTTCATATTAAACTAGTTTTGCGACCTAGAATCAGTCGAGGATGCTAAACCTTCTAATTTTATTGTTAATTCCTTAAAATGATTCATTTTTAAATATATTTCTATAAAACGTAATATAAGTTAAATTGACTAAAATGTAATTTCTAAACAAGTAAATATATTTTTAACAAATATATTATTATTATTAATTATTGGAATATTATGACAATAATAAAATAAAAATTCAGTGTACTATTATTGGTAAAATTTCATTTTCCCAAGTAGTTTAACCTAATTTTATTAAATCTGTTAAGGAAACATGTATTTAAGAAAAAAAAATTTGAATTAAGAAAAAATACTCTCTTCATTTTGAGTTGTGATTTAAAAAGCTTACTTTATTCATTGTCCTTCTATTTAGTTAAAAATTAACATTAACAGAGAATTCTCTATTAATCAGGTAATTGTTTTTTATTTTTTGATTTCGAATAAAAATCACAATACCTTATTATTATTAATTGCTTAAGTATTTTTTTTCAGATTAATTTGAAAAAAATGATGAATAAAAATATTTTTTAAGACGCGTGTGAATATTTTTTTAATCTAATTTTAGTAGATAATTTTCAAAGTATTTTTTTTATATATTTACATTTAATAAAGGAAATAGAGGACAGTAATATTTTTAAGCATAAAACTACAATCTGTAATGATATTTAATTAGAATAAAGAAAATAATTAAAGTTCTAGAAACTCTTAAATCCTTTTAGTATTAAGAGAATGATCATGACAATAGTAAATGTCAAATTCAGTATAGATGGAGTGAATTATCAGATGATAANTTACCATGATAATATAATTTATTTATATACTTTTCAACTAATGGATTTAATTTATTAATCCATCTTTCTCTGCATTGTTTACCCAATTTTACATGGCTTGACTTGCAAAGCTAACTCATTTCCATGGATATCAGACTACATTTATTATATCTATTCTATTATGTATATTTTTCATAAAGTTCAGCTAGTATAGTATCATCTTCTCAAGACCAAGAATGATCTACTATAGAAGTTGCTTAACTTTCCATCCATTTATTTCTACACACTTTCCAAAAACTATAGAATAATAATGACCCTACCCAATCCCAATCGTAAACATCCTAAAAATTATAATTTATAAATACCATCTATAAAGGTTGCAAATTATGAATGCTATAATATAATTTACAATTATCTTCAGGAGGTCTATTTCATAATTATCAATTTTTTTCCACTTCCTATGTTTTTCATATTAAACTAGTTTTGCGACCTAGAATCAGTCGAGGATGCTAAACCTTCTAATTTTATTGTTAATTCCTTAAAATGATTCATTTTTAAATATATTTCTATAAAACGTAATATAAGTTAAATTGACTAAAATGTAATTTCTAAACAAGTAAATATATTTTTAACAAATATATTATTATTATTAATTATTGGAATATTATGACAATAATAAAATAAAAATTCAGTGTACTATTATTGGTAAAATTTCATTTTCCCAAGTAGTTTAACCTAATTTTATTAAATCTGTTAAGGAAACATGTATTTAAGAAAAAAAAATTTGAATTAAGAAAAAATACTCTCTTCATTTTGAGTTGTGATTTAAAAAGCTTACTTTATTCATTGTCCTTCTATTTAGTTAAAAATTAACATTAACAGAGAATTCTCTATTAATCAGGTAATTGTTTTTTATTTTTTGATTTCGAATAAAAATCACAATACCTTATTATTATTAATTGCTTAAGTATTTTTTTTCAGATTAATTTGAAAAAAATGATGAATAAAAATATTTTTTAAGACGCGTGTGAATATTTTTTTAATCTAATTTTAGTAGATAATTTTCAAAGTATTTTTTTTATATATTTACATTTAATAAAGGAAATAGAGGACAGTAATATTTTTAAGCATAAAACTACAATCTGTAATGATATTTAATTAGAATAAAGAAAATAATTAAAGTTCTAGAAACTCTTAAATCCTTTTAGTATTAAGAGAATGATCATGACAATAGTAAATGTCAAATTCAGTATAGATGGAGTGAATTATCAGATGATAATAATGAATCCAAAATGCTTTATGATAGAGTGGAAATTAAAATGTGAAATTTACAAAGAGCTAAATATTCTAAAACTTTTTAAATGATTTATGGGAAGTGATTAGATTTGAAATAAATGTATAATGTTATGATTTGATTTGATATTCATAATATTCTGATTTGATATTAATTCAGATATGAGAGAGGGAAGAGATAAAGTTATTGACTTAAGTAATAGTATCAAATCCTTTCAATAATATTATAGAAGATATGTGGGAGAAAAGAATGATTTCTCTCAAATTAATGACTTCTTTGGCCATCGTAATTGTGAACTTTCCTACTATTACAACTCCAATTCAAATGAAATTAAAAGTAAAGAAATTTATGAAGTATTTTACTTTAAGATTTTAAATTCACTATTTCGGATTAAGTGATTCAATTTCAATATTATTTGCTAATAAAAAATCCAAGTAAATTGTGTTCTATTAAGATTTTACAGCTCCTATAGAATTCATTAGCACTCCAATAACTCTTGACATTTTGGAAAGAAATTAAGAAATATTTCAAGCCATCTCATTTTATAGAATTGCTCTATGCTGATTAAATATTAATATATTTATCTATTGAAAAACACGCTTTTATATTTATTGTACTTAAAATTGTTTTGGAAATATATTATTCAAATAGATTTCTAAATGAATTAGACTAGAATATTATGATATAATATTTTTGGTCATATAAACTTTTTATGAATTATGGAGAAGTTAATGTAAAAGGTATTGTTAAATTTGATAAATATTAATAGAATGATCATTGGTACTCATATTTTGAATATAAATATGTAATTGGTTCGTATGTAAACATTTCCGAAAGAGAATTGTTTGTCAAATAGGTCATCAGATAACTTGAAATTATTGAAAATGAATTAGAGTAAAATTCAATTTGAAGATATTTGGGAGAAAAGAACTATAATGTTCTATTTACTTGACAGAAAGTAAAGAACAAACAATAAAAGAAATCATTAACCTAATATATTATTATTTGGATGGGTGAAGACTTTGAACTCACCAGTCAAATATACTAATTGCTAATTAAACTAAAAAACATAATTATACTTTCTAAATTTACAACTTGAACCTTAAGAAGTTACCAATCCAATTAAATTCTAAATCTATATGTAAGCCTAATTTAAAGAATAAAAAATTTTAGAACTTATTGAAATCATTACAAAAAGTTTAAAACTAACCTTTAGAAATTAACCCATAAATATATGTGAAGAAATAACACTAGAATCTAAATGTTACTTTCTCAAATGATATATATCTATATTTATTTATAAATATAAATTTACTTCCATGAAAGAATATCTCAAATAATATAAATTGGAATCATTAAATATTGTGTATGTTGTAACATACTTAACTTTATCAATTAATTGATACTCTATTTTCAGTGCTATAAGAACTTTATTCAGATTTTTAGAGAGATAAATGATGAACAGAGAACAGATTGCCAAAGTTTCAATTTTCCTAAATGAAATTTACAGGTATATTAATTGGATACTTATTGAAATAAAAATTTACAAATAAATAATGCCTAAACATAGCAGATCTGATAGTAATAACTATTCTTTTATCTATCATAGACAAATATTAGGTAATAGTTATAATAAGATTTTTTCTTGGGGTTTCTAAAGAAATATCAAGTTATTTAATACCAGTTTATATAAAATCAATATATCCCCCATAATATTTCAGTTAATTCAATATGTTTGTTATGATATTGGATAAACACAGGATATGTTATTGGACAATTGGTGGACATAGGTTACTACAATTATTTGCACAAGTATAATGCATTTTGTATATAATTATAACAATCCTAAATAATTAATTTAGAAAGGTTGAATAGAACATTTAAAAATTATGGTTTTTTTGGATCTTACAAATAATTCATAGAGACAAAACATAAAAGTTCATTTATTTTACCTGTTTAATAAGGAATAATTTTTATAAATCAAATTATTTAAAAGGAAATGTACTCTTTCAATTAATTTGTTAACAAATTTCCACCTATGTCATTATAGTTTCTACATCAAATATTGGCACTAGAAGATAAGTTGCACTATGACTTGAATCTATTATGTATATAAATTATTTGCTCTATATTCCTTCTCTGGCTAAAACATTGTAATATAAAATTTTTTAGGCAATTATTGGACAGAATGTATAAACATTACTCAGGGGCAAATGGTTAAAATATATAAGCTATTGAGTAATCTTTAATAATTGATGGATTCAGAAATTTATCCCATAAATTTATCAAAATCGACAAATAATCCTCTCACATGAGGTTTGTAATATATCATCACTTATGATTCATCAAATAATGAATCAAGATCATAAATTATTTACCCAGTCATTTTCATATGTGCAATAAGTTTCAATTATTTGTGTTATTTCCATATCGAATATGATAATGACCAATTATCAAGAACAAATCTTCTTTAACTATTTATCCATTATTATAATTATAGTATAATGTTATATAATCATTTATTATATTTACTTATTATTAATTCTATTGTAATTTTCTCCAAAATACAAATAATAAGAATTGTCTTTACAATATATAATATATATAATTGATAATAATATAAGTGTAAATTTATTTAAGTATCTTTTATAATAAACTGAATAAACTGGTATCATTATGAGAAAAGGAGATATTATAAAAAGATATCATTCATTTTTTTAAATAAAACTCCATATTATGCCTTAGTTAAAATAAATTGGATTGTTTTAGTAAATAACTTTTGTTTATTGAATTATGTAATATTTTGTTTATGGTAAATAATATGACACTTTCTCATTTACAGTTCCCTTCACAATCATCAGGAATAAATACTCCATAATATTTATAATCTGATTTTGAATATTGTAAAGTATCTTATTATAGTTATAAATATCTAATGCAAGTGATTTCTTATAATTATGGCTCATATTTTGTTTGTTAAAATATTCAAGACATATTTCATCATTTTTTACTTTCATTTATTCCATTTAACCATGAATACCAATAAATACATTGACACCTAACAAATTTATTCTCATCTTATATTAATATTTTAAATTATAATATCTTTAAATTTACTAATCCAAACAACAACATGNTATTTTACCTGTTTAATAAGGAATAATTTTTATAAATCAAATTATTTAAAAGGAAATGTACTCTTTCAATTAATTTGTTAACAAATTTCCACCTATGTCATTATAGTTTCTACATCAAATATTGGCACTAGAAGATAAGTTGCACTATGACTTGAATCTATTATGTATATAAATTATTTGCTCTATATTCCTTCTCTGGCTAAAACATTGTAATATAAAATTTTTTAGGCAATTATTGGACAGAATGTATAAACATTACTCAGGGGCAAATGGTTAAAATATATAAGCTATTGAGTAATCTTTAATAATTGATGGATTCAGAAATTTATCCCATAAATTTATCAAAATCGACAAATAATCCTCTCACATGAGGTTTGTAATATATCATCACTTATGATTCATCAAATAATGAATCAAGATCATAAATTATTTACCCAGTCATTTTCATATGTGCAATAAGTTTCAATTATTTGTGTTATTTCCATATCGAATATGATAATGACCAATTATCAAGAACAAATCTTCTTTAACTATTTATCCATTATTATAATTATAGTATAATGTTATATAATCATTTATTATATTTACTTATTATTAATTCTATTGTAATTTTCTCCAAAATACAAATAATAAGAATTGTCTTTACAATATATAATATATATAATTGATAATAATATAAGTGTAAATTTATTTAAGTATCTTTTATAATAAACTGAATAAACTGGTATCATTATGAGAAAAGGAGATATTATAAAAAGATATCATTCATTTTTTTAAATAAAACTCCATATTATGCCTTAGTTAAAATAAATTGGATTGTTTTAGTAAATAACTTTTGTTTATTGAATTATGTAATATTTTGTTTATGGTAAATAATATGACACTTTCTCATTTACAGTTCCCTTCACAATCATCAGGAATAAATACTCCATAATATTTATAATCTGATTTTGAATATTGTAAAGTATCTTATTATAGTTATAAATATCTAATGCAAGTGATTTCTTATAATTATGGCTCATATTTTGTTTGTTAAAATATTCAAGACATATTTCATCATTTTTTACTTTCATTTATTCCATTTAACCATGAATACCAATAAATACATTGACACCTAACAAATTTATTCTCATCTTATATTAATATTTTAAATTATAATATCTTTAAATTTACTAATCCAAACAACAACATGGGGCTGTTCATTTTCGTAAAAGTATTTATTTAAAATAATATTATGTATTTATATTACAATAAAAGTTCTGACAATGAATTACTTGAAAATTTATTCAATTCAAATTATAACATTATATTCCAATCATTCAAGTCCATAATTATGAAATAGCATCTTCTAAACTAAAATAGTAAAAACCGAATAATTAAAGAAAAATCAATGAAATCAGTTATTCTTAATATTGGAACAGGTAATTTATTTAGAGTGAATGCCAAAAAATCCAATCAAAATGACCATGTTTAGACTTATTAGAATGAAGAATATAATTTTAGTGAATGTTCTTTTTGTAGTTTAGATATGATAGAAAATTTGTCCATTTTAGTTTCTTGTGGACATGTATTTCATTAAAAATGTTACTCAAAATTGGGATGTCCTATTTGTAGAAACAAATAAGCCATTTAAATATATTTCTCAATAGAAATAAACTAAAATTAGAAAAGAAAATCAATTAAATAGAATATATTTTTTAAAAGTAATTAATTGGATTCTTAAAATAATATTAATAAAGAATTTTATTAAAACCTTAGAACTCTAGTTTGTAAAGGAAAGGAACTTTGTTATTATTAAAATATTTGGAAGTACTGGAATACACAAAATGAAAAGTAAAAATATATCTTGTGAGAGTCTTCATAATGAAATTTCTAATATATTAACAAATCTCAAATTTGAAATTGATTATTAAAGTTATTCAAATGACAGAGTATAACCTTAATGTTATTTTCAATAACCATAAATATTATAAAATTCCTCTAAACCATCTTAAAAAAACATTCTAAAGTATTTATTTTGATTAAAACCAAAATAACTTAAATTTAGTTGATAAAAGTTCTTAACGTTCTAATTAAAACTAACTTATAAAGCTTTTAGACCTTATAGTTATAATGATTGGGAATGAAATTTGAAAATTTATTTTATCTATTAATGATAAATTATAAATTAAATTATAATTATAAATAGAATAACTTAAGGGAAAAGACAGAAGATAAATTATACATGAAGTATTTTATTTGTAAACAAGAAATTAATAAATGAAATAATGTATATAAATCAAAATAGCTTGCAAGAGAATGAACATGTAAATCTATAATTAATACTTTTATTAATGAAGGAAGGATAAGAAAGAGAAAGAGAGAAGGATTAGAAAATTAAAAAAAGTAACTGCAACTTACACAATTATTTTAAATCCATAAAAGCCCTGTTGTCAAATATATCAACTGAATGTGAAATTTTGAATAATCTTTTCTTTAAAGGAATGCATAAAATAAATTGACTGAAAACTACATTCAAGAATACAAAAAAACAAAAATTAGGCTTTATTTCAATTATAATAATATCACATATTGAAAATTTCTCAATATTTTTCAAGCAGAAATTTAATGTATAAAGTTGATATTAATTTTTTATTTTTAATATATTTCTAATATCATATTTATTATCTTATTAAATACAGTAAATTAAATTCAAACTAAATCGTTAATCAGTAATTAATTTTTCTTTAAAATTAATGAGAAAATCCTTAAATAATGTTTTATTAATGAAAAAACAAAGTGGAATCAAATTTAAAAATGCAAATAAGGTGTAAACAAAATGTAGATTTTCATTGTGATATTGAAAATCTTATTTAGTTTGTGAATTGTGATGATAAATTTATTTGTTAATAAATGAAAAATAAAAATTAAAAAAAGTAGAGAGAAGATGGGTAGAAGTAAATGGGTTAAAATTGAATTGATTGAGTGAAATAAGATTTGAATATGAATATGATTAAAATAAAATTGAATATTTTCAGATCATTCTCATAATTTAAGGAATTTTTTTTGATAAGATTTATAAGGAGGGTTTATCTACAATAATAATGGCAGCTATCATAGCAATAATAATTATGACAATTAACATTTACCATGAGAATACAAAAATCAATGGTAACTAAGTGAAATTATAATGCCATAGGTTATCCAATAATAAATCCTACCATTAAACCAATAAAACTGGAACTAAAAACTAATGTAAAAGCTTCCATTATATAGACAATTGTAATAGACATCTTATTATTACCAATAGCTCTAATAATTGATATTTCCTTGACCTATTCTAACATATATGTAGACATAGATGTCATTAAACTAAAGAATGATAAAACCCTAACAACCCCAGTTAAGAAACTAAATATAATTTAAATGAGTTATTGACTTTATTGAATGGGATGTTTCATAATCTCTATAATCCCAAATTCTAGCAGAGACCCCCTTGGGAATCTATATACTTTTTAAATTGTTCATAGACAGTATCAAGATTACCTGAATTAGAGACAATATCAAATAATCTTCTCATTTGATAATTTTCAAGTGCATTAATTTAATTTCCACAAAGTTGGTAATGATACAAAAACATTTTATTCTTAGACACTAGGTAAACTACTAAATTTAAGTAAAGGTGCTGAAGTGATGATTGAAGATGCTCTCATTTAATGGTATTAACTATATGTATTATTATACACAACAATAAGAAAAGTGCTATCTATATCAATTTTAATATTAATTATAGCACTTTGACTACCTCTACTACTCTACTAGTATATAATTATTCAACAGGATTTAATTAGCTATTATAGTAGAAGATCACTGAAAATCCTAATCTTTACATATAACTATCTGATGAATCTGTTACCCAAGTAAAACTTTTAAGAGTATTTCCCAAATCTAAAATTATATTTTTAAATTATATGACTAAAGAGTTTAAGTTGCTTAATTTTCAATCTAAACACTCACACCAACAAAAATAAATATTACAAATTCAATAGATAATGCATACATTAATACTGTTCTTCTATTTTTAATCTAATTAATTATTATATATTATTTACTCTATGTGCAGCAAGATTCTTTAATACAAAAAAGGTTTATCCCATGACCAATATGCTAAATTGTTAAAGAAGTGTTTATGCTCAACTATTATCAATTTATCAGCATCTCCATCTGGAAACTTACCATATGTTGATTCTAATAAACCTTTTACTTAATATAAATCAAATCTACAAACTCTTCATTCAAAAAAGTGTCATAATAATTTGTTAAATTAAGTTGGCTACCTATTGATTCAAAGTAGTTCTAGATATAATATGACCCAGAATTCACTATATATTAACATATAATCTCCTTATTTCAACCTATATGTTTCTGCTAATTTCCTACTCATTATTATTTCTGTTTCTTAAATTCACCAAATGGATATTCCCAACCCAATCTTATTGCTTTCTCTTTCAATATATCTAGATGTGGTTATTAACCTCCGCAATTGTGACCTAAATATTATCCATCTCTTAAATCATTAAAATGAGCTTAACTTCCAAATTCCTATCTTTTAGATATTCTTAAATTTCTAACATTTTTTTATTTTTATTTTAATTAACTATTATTATGCTTTATTTCACTAACTATTTCATATATCATCAATATCTACATTCTCACAATCACCTGTTTTTTATAAGTATGTAAAATTCATTTAATATTAAATTCTTGGACTTGTTTAATTTGCTCTTTCTGGTCCTAATATTTCATTCACCCTAGTGAAATTCATAAAGTCAACTATAAGATATCCTTATTATCTTGCTGTGCCACTATAAATAATAATCAAATATTGAGGAGATTTATCCTGTTCTTCACTTAAATAATTAGGATTTACATTCAACCTAATCTTAAATTATTAATTACAATATGTCAGATTGAGCTGCTAGACCTTCTGCTAATTTAAAAAAAACAAAAGGTGCTCTATCAATTATAGATTAATTAACAGCACTTGCAGCAACAACAATCAAAACACTAAAAAATGATACACAATATCCATAAGGTCTTCTTTTCATTTCATACCATGATTAACCTATCATGAATAACATCGAAGAACAAATAGATATTGAAGTACCTTAAGGAACCATAGACTCTTTTCTCTATATTGATTTAGGTTGCATTTATATAATAATTAATTATTAATATTATAAAAATGTTAAAGAATATAATACTAATCTACTTTATTATCATTCATAATATACTTCTACTCTCAACAATTAGTTTGTTCTCTATGTTCTTTTTTAAGTTTACATTATTAATGAACTTGAGGTTGTAAAATATCAAACATATGATGTAAATTTATCATATGTCTAATACAACTTCATAACATCCATCTCTTGCATGCTTGGACTTAAATTTCATAAAAGTATCAATTGGTGGAGATTAATAATAGAACATGGCATTTTCATTCCAATTCTTTTGGTTAGTACCAATATATAAATAAATATTACATATTTGTATCGAATTCTATGTGCTTGAATTTAAATAAGCACATATTTTGCTTTTTTGTTTGGTCAAATTCAAAAAGCTCAATGCACAATCTTAACTTAGCGTAAATGTGTTTCCAAGCATACATACCCTTTTGATTTTTAATGTAATAGAGTTTCTATAAGCCTATAACTTTATTAGGTTGACAATCGCTCTAATCTTACTATCAAGTTTCATTCACTTCTAATGACATTGGAATAAGTGTAAAAAGGAAAGATATTATGATTAATGATTTGAATGCATTTATGATAATTTTTTTTGTAATAAAAATAATGAAATTTTCAACTATTAAAAATGAGTACATTAGAAGCTGCAAGTAAAAATAATTTTTATTTTGGAACAAAATATGATCACAATGGAGTAATATATTCATTACTATCATAAGGAAGTTTGAAGTAGTAAAAAGAATTAAACAAAATTTAAAGAGAGAAGGTAAATGAGTTGATAAATTTCTTAGTACAACAAAATTACAATTTTTATGCTTTTCATTCTTATTAAATACTTTAGTTGATAAGACTGATCCTCAAAATTGTGAATATACTTATACTGAAGGAGCACCGAAATGGATACATCAAAATTATGTTATAATTTAATTTAAGTACAGAGAGGATTACATATATATAATTCATTCACGATCTTGAATAAAAAATAAAAGAGTTATTATGAATGAAATGCAGGTTGAAGTTGAAAAAATTAAATAAAATAATTTAGTCCCTGTATTAGAAGATTTAGAGAAAAACTGTAGTATAAATAATAAACATGAAATTAAAANTAACAGCACTTGCAGCAACAACAATCAAAACACTAAAAAATGATACACAATATCCATAAGGTCTTCTTTTCATTTCATACCATGATTAACCTATCATGAATAACATCGAAGAACAAATAGATATTGAAGTACCTTAAGGAACCATAGACTCTTTTCTCTATATTGATTTAGGTTGCATTTATATAATAATTAATTATTAATATTATAAAAATGTTAAAGAATATAATACTAATCTACTTTATTATCATTCATAATATACTTCTACTCTCAACAATTAGTTTGTTCTCTATGTTCTTTTTTAAGTTTACATTATTAATGAACTTGAGGTTGTAAAATATCAAACATATGATGTAAATTTATCATATGTCTAATACAACTTCATAACATCCATCTCTTGCATGCTTGGACTTAAATTTCATAAAAGTATCAATTGGTGGAGATTAATAATAGAACATGGCATTTTCATTCCAATTCTTTTGGTTAGTACCAATATATAAATAAATATTACATATTTGTATCGAATTCTATGTGCTTGAATTTAAATAAGCACATATTTTGCTTTTTTGTTTGGTCAAATTCAAAAAGCTCAATGCACAATCTTAACTTAGCGTAAATGTGTTTCCAAGCATACATACCCTTTTGATTTTTAATGTAATAGAGTTTCTATAAGCCTATAACTTTATTAGGTTGACAATCGCTCTAATCTTACTATCAAGTTTCATTCACTTCTAATGACATTGGAATAAGTGTAAAAAGGAAAGATATTATGATTAATGATTTGAATGCATTTATGATAATTTTTTTTGTAATAAAAATAATGAAATTTTCAACTATTAAAAATGAGTACATTAGAAGCTGCAAGTAAAAATAATTTTTATTTTGGAACAAAATATGATCACAATGGAGTAATATATTCATTACTATCATAAGGAAGTTTGAAGTAGTAAAAAGAATTAAACAAAATTTAAAGAGAGAAGGTAAATGAGTTGATAAATTTCTTAGTACAACAAAATTACAATTTTTATGCTTTTCATTCTTATTAAATACTTTAGTTGATAAGACTGATCCTCAAAATTGTGAATATACTTATACTGAAGGAGCACCGAAATGGATACATCAAAATTATGTTATAATTTAATTTAAGTACAGAGAGGATTACATATATATAATTCATTCACGATCTTGAATAAAAAATAAAAGAGTTATTATGAATGAAATGCAGGTTGAAGTTGAAAAAATTAAATAAAATAATTTAGTCCCTGTATTAGAAGATTTAGAGAAAAACTGTAGTATAAATAATAAACATGAAATTAAAATTAGAAGGATTATTTTTAAATGAACTTGATGTTAAGAAAGTAATTTAGAGAGAAGTAATAAAAATATGAAGAACTAAATACAGTTAAAAACTTTAGGTTATCTATGGAAGAATTAGCAAAGTCAGAAATTTTATATAGTTAAAAATTAAAAATTTAGCAATTTAGCAAGAAATTAAAGAAGTCAAATTTTATGAATCCAATAGTAGAAAATAATAGAAGGCAAAATGATCAGAAATTATGAATCAAAGCATTTTGTCAAAAAATAATTAAAAGAACTGAATAAGAAATTGAATCAAATATCTGCAACAACTAAAAGTATTCAAATATATAATTAATGTCAAAAAGAAACTGCTGTTAATTTTGAAGATTTATTATTAATAATAAATTTATATATTTTATTTAGAATAGATGAATAAAAGTCGTCATAGTTCTATGCATAAGATCTTTGGTTCTCCTTAAATATTTATGTTTGATAGGGAAGAATCTAAGTTTTAAAAAATTGTTTTTAGAGGTTGTATGTTCTGTATTATTCAGAGCATTCAATAGATAAAATAAAATTTTGTTGGGAACAATCTTATAAATAAGATGAATGATTTAGATTTAAAAAAAATAAATTATTCAAATCAATAAGATATGGATATTCATGTTCACAATAGTTACCTATTGCCATAAATTAATAAGTGTAAAAATTTGTTAAATAATGAATGCTTTGTGTTTTCTCCATAAATGACTGTAGATTTTCTATTTTATTAATTTTAGAATCTGAATAAAAATTTGGAAAATATGCTAAAAGAAATACTTAAGATTCTGACATATTTTCACTCAAAATTCCTACTGATAAATAATATTCTCAAAATTCATCTGCTTATGGTCAGTTTCATTTTTAACCTGAATTTAAATTAATGAAAATAAAACCGGTTTTCAAATATCACACAGTTAATAAAGTGAAAACTGATTATGTAAAATAATATTTTATTATCAACAAAATGAACACTTGCTATTGTAAATTATATTTTATAATTTATAAACTCATAATTTAAAATTAGAAAAGTGAAAACTCACTATTTAAAATAATATTTTCTTATTAACAAAGTGAAAACTCACTATTTGAAATAATATTTTATTATTAACAAGTGAACACTCATTATTTGAAGTTATATTTCTTAAAATGATATTTTTATAGTAGTAGTGAACACTCATAATTTTAAATTACAATTTAAGATGAATAAAGTAAAAATTCACTTTTATAAATTAAAATTTAATATGAATAAAGTGAACACTCATTATTTTAAATTAAAATTAAATATAAATAAAGTGAACACTAACTATTTTAAATTAAAATTTAATATAGTCAAAATTTATATTATATTAAATTTTAGACTTAAAATTTTGTTTATGCTTAATTCATATGTAATCATTATTTGTTACTAAAATTTTGTTTATTTCCTCTTAAATATTTCAAATCAAATTCTCAATAATGAAGCTGTTTTTTTTTTTAAAGGTAATTATGAATTTATCTGATTTAATTTTTTCATCATATGGTTAAATCTTATGTATTGCTTTTATGGAGAAGTTTTTCTAAATATTGCCCAAAAATATATGAATTTACATTTGCCAAAACAAATTTGAAAACATTAAAATCCATTTGTACCTATACAACCAAATTCATGTAAATTTTTTTTAAGTTAACTACCCTTCTAAACACCTTCTCTTTTTATTTACTACAACTTGGATTTTTTGATTAATGTGAAAATCTTGTTTAATCTAAAAATAATGTATTAAATCCCCCTTTCATATAAGATAATAATTCTGTACAATAGGATATTAATATTTGTTATCTTGATTGATTGAAGAATCCAATACCGCGCGCACAGATAGAGCATTTTCATTAAGATTGAAATGAAGTTTGAATCTGGAAAATATCAGTTTTGAATTCCTTTGTTCGGTGACCTCTGATTCATTTACATATCTGATCAACCAATCAATGTGTTCTTATGCAAAATAAAATTAAGTTCCTAACGATTCACTATCAGGATCTTATTTCCCTATAATAAATTGAACTTTTTGATAATCCTAAAATTATTGAAATATTTTCTTTTGTCAACCCTAATTGTGCTAGTTTTCTAATTAAATAAGCATTTCGTTTGATTATAAAATTTAGGTTTAACCTATTTTTATTCTTTTTGATTATTTTTGTTTTATTTTACATCCTTAATTCTAATTGCGTATTATTAAATAGTATTATTGCTTCTTCTATGGTGAATAACTTTATTAAAGGTTATTTAGTTTTTTGTATAGACCTTTAACATATGCTATTATGTGATATCAAATTATAACATTCAGAACTGCATCTCAAATGATGCACTATTAATTCTCCTCATTTAAGTTTAGTTTCCAAATTACAATACATTAACCCAAATATATTTTCACTTTGACTGACATATACAGATTAAAATAGATATTGAAAAACTATATAGGAATATTTTTTGAATTGCTTAAATATAAATTAAATTCAAATTAAATAATCTCATTTAATTTACACTTGGTAATTAATGATGTCATTCTTTATAGTTCATAGCTTGTATTTATGTTTTGAACGTTCAAAAAATATTTTTTGAACGTTCAAAGCCTAAAAGAAGTAATGAACTCATTCCCTGTAAGTGAAATAATTATTAATTTACCATATATTATACTTATAATTATTTTTTATAAAATATGATAGGCTCAAAATATTACAATTGAAGAAGCCAATAACATAGTTGGATCTCTGAAATCAATGTACACAGGATTGACGCTAAATGGAATATATCTCCAGAAATACAATTCTCCTTGTGTAACAAGCGAATATTTACTTAGAGTTGCTCTGAAAATAGTGCTTTATGTCATGTGGCAATCATTGATGATAAGGGTAGTTTGAATTTATACTTTTTTATATTGTTTATGATATTTTCAATCATGTTTAAAGGATTCATATTATGAAACTTACTTCTAAAGATTGAAATTTTATATTTGGAAATTGCTACATTTACTTGAAACATTTAGGCTATTTGAATAATTATAACATTGTAATGCTTCTTCAAATCGATTTAATTAACATAATGTATTAGCTATATTATTATTTAGTAAAATTTACCTTTATTATTATAAAAATTAGCATTTTTAGGATTTATTAAAATTGCTAAATCACAATATTATAATGCTTCTTCAAATCGATTTAACTCTTATAATATACATGCTATATTTTATTTTCTCTAAAATTTTACCTTTATTATTATAAGAATCAGCATTGTTAGGATTTTTTTTTATTACTAAATCATAATATATTAATGCTTCTTCAAATCGATTTAATTTATATAATGTATTAGCTATATTTTAATATCAAGCAAATACAACCTATTTTAAAAACAGTATTATAATCGTCAGGGTTATGTTAAATTGCTAAATCATAATATTATAAAGCTTCTTCGAATCTATTTAAGTTCGACAATGCAGTTGCTATTGACTAAAATAAACTATTACCTTTGTTAAAAATAGCTATGAAATTCTTAGGATTTTTTTTAAGAGCATGATCACAATATTATAAAGCTTCTTCATTTCGATTTAACTATAGCAATGCATAAGCTATATAGTGTATCAAATAAACTTTACCTTTATTTATAAGAGCTAAGCAATTTTTCGGATTTCTTTAAATTGCATAATCATAATATTATAAAGCTTCATCAAATCGATTTAACTTAAGTAATGCATCGGCTTAATTGTGAGATTAAATAAATTTTACCTTTTTAATTATAAATCTGAGCATCTTCAGGATTTCTTTATATTGCATAATCGCAATATTGTAAAGCTTCTTCAAATCGATTTAACTCATACAATGTTTTTGCTATTTAAGTTATCAATTAAATTTTACCTTTGTTATAAAAGGCTGCTTCATCTTCAGGATTAATTTAAATAGCTTAGTCACCATATTATAAAGCTTCTTCAAATCGATTTAAGTAATTTAATACATTTGCTATATTTTATCAATTATTCTTTACCTTTTTATCTATATGCAACATTATTTTCTGTATTTTAGTTAATTGAGTAGTCATAATATTACAAAGCTTCATCTAAGCGATTTAACTGCTTCAATAAGTTTGCTAAATTATATTAAATCAATTTTGCCTTTCACATTATAGATATTAGCATCTTCAGGATTTCTTTATATTGCATAATCGCAATATTCTAAAGCTTCATCAAATCTATTTAATTCAAGTAATATATTGGCTATATTTGAAAATTTAATCAATTTTACCTTTAATCTAAAAAGCTCTATGATCCTAAGGATATTTTTTAATTGAATAATCACAACATTATAAAGCTTCATCAAATCTATTTAACTCAAGTATCACTTTCTATTTAAAGTATTCAATTTAATTAATTAGAAAAATCACTAATCTTATTGTAATTATCATTATTAAATTAAAAAATGCATTGCAATCCTATTAAATAAGAATATTAATGACCTCACCATCATATCCCTTTAATGTCTTAATTAATCAATGTAGGTAAATATACAAATTATTAGAGTTGAATGAATACTAACATTATTAATTTGAAGTATGATCTGTCTATTTAAGTTACAAAATTGGTGAAACAATACTAGTAATATTTTTAAAATAAGAGGAGTCTTCATTTCAGTTATAATAATTTACTTAAAATTCCTTTTCTTAAAGGCATATTCATATAGAATTATTATAATAAAGAATTGATATAACATGGAGCTCCAAGAATTTAACCTCCACATCTACCTTCTTTATATCGAACTTCAATTTATGATGATTTTAAATCAAAGGTAGCATACTTCTAGAGGAAATTCATCTTTACATAATTCTAATAATAATTAGAATACTCTTTTTCTTGTTAATTTTTGTTTAGATGCAGTATTTTTACAATAATCATTATGCAACTCAATTAACATTTATATAAATATGTTGTGAATTCAATATCTACGGTAATATTATTATAAACTTACAATAAAGAGATCAATAACAATAAATTTCCTTACAATAATTTAACTTCATTTTCAATAAATCTGTATTCAATAATTTCTCTGTTAGAAATCAATGATATTATTTATAGAGCCAATTAATGTGCATAAAAAAATGTTAAATCATTCACTTAAGCAAACAAATTAAGCAACTACTAAATACAATTCATCATATTAAGTTTCTCCTTTAATTAAAGTTTTCAAAATATCATTACTTAGATTCACATCATTTCTTAGATTCACATCATTTCTTAGATTCACATCATTTCTCTTTTCAATATCTTAAAAACAAGAATGAAAAAAGTTGTCATTCCTCATTTGAACTAGTTAATAATTCAAAAAATCTATTAATTGGTAATTCAACTTAAAGTAATTAAGGTCTCGTATATAATCTAGATTAGATATTTGTATATATTTCTTCAACTCCAATTTTTTAATTAGAGAATCTACAAATACATTCCATTCTTCTTCTAATTCAGAATTATAGAATAAATATTATAAAAGTTATGCTTCATCACATCCAGAAATATTTTTTTTCTCTTATTTCTATAATTATATACTCAATAGACTACACAATTTAGGATCTTTATACTTTTTTTATACAGCTTACTTCAATTTTAAGAATTATAAGTCATCATTAATCTATTCACATTACAATTATTCCTTTAAAAATTTACAAATGATATTATTATATATATTTATTGTTTACAATTAAAAGATTACTCCAATCTGTTTTTGATTACTCAAATAATTCATATACTTATTTATTTCTAGGAATCATTAACAAAATAGACGAAATCTTCTGTTCATGATTCCATTAATTAAGTAAGATGAATAATTAATTAAAATGAAATTTCACCAATTTATTTTTTCATTAAAGGTACTATTTCTTAATCTATGGATTCTTTTATTAGTGTAATCATAAAATAGATTCTCATTATATTCTTTTAATAATTAATCTTCACAATCCAAAATATTACAATATAGCAATATCTAGCTGACAATTTTTATCTATTAATATAGAAATTAATTAATATTAGTCTGATATTTAAACTAAATTCATAATTTCTTATACTCTTTCTGCAGAATCAATTGGTGCATATTCATTATTTTTTATTTAGTTGGTTGTACAAGAGTTAATTTTTAATTAAATTTGTAATCTTTAAGTGTTTTATTGTCAGCGAATAGAGCTCCTCTACAAAATATATTACAAATTCATCTGATTAAATTAAATTTGCTTTTTGAGTAGCTA